AGAGTGCAGAGAAGAGTAACCAAGATGATTAAGGGACTGGAGGCCAAAACATACAAAGAAGGCTTGCAGGAATTGGGTAGGTCTAGTTTAATGAAAAGAAGGACTAAGGGGGGACATGAAAGCAGTCTTCCAATATTTGAGGGGCTGCCCCAAAGAAGAGGGAGTCAAGCTATTATCCAAAGCCCCTGAGGGTAGGACAAGAAGCAATGGGTGGAGACTAATCAAGGTGAGAAGCAACCTAGAACTAAGGAGGAATTTCCTGATAGTGAGAGCAATTAATCAGTGGAGCAACTTGACTCCAGAAGTTGTGGATGCTCCAACACTGGAAGTTTTTAAAAAGATGTTGGATAACCATCTGTGTGAAGTGGTGTAGGATTTCCTGCCTAGTCAGGAGTTGGACTAGAAGACCTCCAAGGTCCCTTCCAATTCTGTTATTCTATTCTATTCTAACTCCGTGGAGAAGAGGTTGCTGTCTCATGCATTAAGAGCTTAAAACTGCATATAATCCTAGATTCCAGCCTAGTTCTTTCCCAGGAGTTAATTCTTGGAGAATGTTTCAGCAGGAGACCTTTAAGAACAGCTTCTGATGGAGCTGGTTTGTGGACACTCTGGCGAGATGGCTTTGAAAGGACCATTCGTGACAAGGTCCACCATCCAGGCCTCATTCATCCTTCCTCTGTGTTATGGGATGGGATACGCTTCTGCTTGCAGATAAGGGAAGTGTCTCCTCTATTGAATGTGGATTGTGGAATATTCAGAGGTTTTTCTTCTTATTTTTCATAGACCTGGAAGAGCGAAGGTTTTTTTGCATTGTACAAAGGATTCTGGCCAAACTGGTTAAGGCTTGGGCCTTGGAATATAATTGTATCCTTTTTCCATGCATTTTATTTGATTTTTTTATTTTATTCACATCCCGCCTTTATTGTTTTTACAAATAACTCAAGGCAGTGAACATGCCCAACACACCTTCCTCCTTCTCTTTTTCCCACAACAACAACCCTGTGAGGTGGGTTGGGCTGAGAGAATGTAACAGGTCCAAAGTCACCCAGCCGGGATTCATAGCAAAGGCAGGACTAGAACTCACCGTCTCCTGGTGATTGGTCCAAAGTCACCCAGCTGGCTTTCATGCCTAAGGCGGGACTAGAACTCCCAGTCTCCTGGTGATTGGCCTGGCTCTATATTTTCAGAAGTTTACATAAAATATGAAATTCTCTAAAACAAAAAGGAAGTGAATATCCACTAATCCCAAGCAAACATAATACCTCCTTTGCTTTCTTCGTCTTAAAATCTTTCTGGCAGTTATCAATTTTGTTACAATTTGAAATAGCTACTGTCCTTTAGTCAACTGATGCATAATTGGTCCCTATGGGACCAGTTGCTTTCTGGATTTTCATTTACTCAAAATTCATTCAGTTTCTTCCCTGGTAACAATGAGGCCATAATAGCAAGTGTATACAATTTTTAATTTACAAAGTTATTTTTCTTTTCTTGCTAAATTGTACTGTTTCTGTTGTTTGGTAGAGAAATTAAAAATACTTTGTTACACTTGCCGTTTGTCCTGCGAGAAAATATTCCTTGTAAGAAGTGTGATGTAGTTTATACTTTTTAAGACAGATTGCCCTGACTTCCTTATTCTGAATTAACTGGAATGAATAACTGGCATTGAAAATTACACATTTCCAGATCTTGTGACTGACACACATTCTTCCATCTTGTGACAAGACCTTAAGAATCTCTGTGGACGTATTTGAGTTCTTCATTTTGCTTTTTCTCTATCTATTCTATTCTTGATCACCTTAGGTCAGGGGTGTCCAACCTTGGCAACTTTAAGACTTGTGGACTTCAACTCCCAGAATTCTGGGAGTTGAAGTCCACAAGTCTTAAAGTTGTCAAGGTTGGACACCCCTGCCTTAGGTGATGTCACAAGAGTTAAATCAAATAGTTAAACCCTTTAAAACCATATTAAAATATCATATGGAATAATAGCAGCCGATAAAGCTTACTGAATAGATATAATAGCAAGACAGTAATGATAAAGTTCAAAATGTTACCACCAGTAGGGAATAAATTAGAGGCTTTTAAAATGGGGACCGAAGATCCAGATTCAAAATTTTTGCATATACATATCATAGCAAGCAAATATTTTAGTATTCTCTTAATCTCCAGTCATAAAAGCCTGGATGGGATTTTTTTAAAAAAAGTTATATATTGCAATTACTGGTATAAATAGGAAGCTCAACAAAGCTACCATACTTATCTGAGATACTGTAAGACAACTGAACAAATTTGTTTTAAAAACAGGAAGAAGTGGAACTGTAAAATGCAATTACTTTCATAAAAAGAAAAGAAAACTTTATCTAAATAGGCTCAACAAAACTACCTGGTTGAGAAGCTTGCAAAAAGAGTGAGCAGATTCGCTGGAAAAACTGGAAGGATAGCAACTAAATGCAATTACAGGCCCTTTTTAAAATTTAGCAATGAGATTCAACCCTTGCTTTTTTTTCCTTAATGACAAGCACTAGTTCTTTGTGATGTATGAACAGCTGAAGAAATTGGATTTCTGACAGCCTGAAAAATTGAAGAGGCCATGTCTTCCATTGGTATAGCACCTCAAGTGCTCTTTCAGATATCCAAGTTTGCAGAATTGGACAAATTAAATTGTTGTTGCAAAGAACGTTGAAGTGCTCAAGCATTACAGAACAGAGTATAACTTGAGACTGAAACAGTCCTTAGAATTGGTTCTGAATTTCAACTTTCATAACTATTACGAACATTTCAGTGTTGACATGTCTGAATGGGAGCAAGTGAACTTAATAATTAGGTGCAGGGTTTCTTTCAGTCTTCGTTCTCTTAAAAATAAGCTCTTTCCAACAGCCAATAATTCATGTGTTCACAACCTCAAGAATCTGTATTTTACACCAAAGACTAGACTGTGACTAAAGCTTATTTTATGAAGCATCCTATTGTATGGAACAGCGTCGCATAAATAATGTGCCAAACATTATTTGCAAAACAGCGTTGAACGTCCTTTTTTTCTTGAAACACCTCAGTGGCATTTCTTCTTTTTTAAAAAAGCATTACATTAATGCTGAATTAAATTCATTACTGTTAGGTTTCAGCACTGTCTTAAAATATTTTGCCCTATCTGATGATTTGAGTAGACCTAATCTCATATAGTTTTTATTTTAAAAAGATTCCATTGTGGGCAATAGACGAACTCTTTGCATAAACATTGTTTCATAATGCTTTCTGAGAAAGTATTAAATGGCTGCCCTTCTCAAGGTTTGGGACAATAATAATATCAATCGTTACAAGCGATGTTGAGGTTGTGAAGGCCCATTCATATATGGCAAGTTATGGAAGACATCTTGTATGCCTGCCTGAACAGACCTGATTTTTCTTCCATTTTCCTGGATTGCGTCCAGAGAAACCAGCAACACCTTAAGCACAGACAATTGTTTGTGTTAAGAAGAGAGCACAGAGTCTTCACTTCCCAGAGACTGCCGCCTTGTCTTTCTCCCCCAAAATATTTAGAAATAAAATTGCCACAGGTGTGGGCCTACGTGGGACCACCGTTTGGGAAAAGCTGCTGCCCGTATCAGTTTCACCACATGGAATTGTTTCAACCAAATAGGAATTTTATGTATGTTTTAAGTTCTGCATAAAAGTGATTTTCATACAGGATCGTAAAGTTTGAGTCGGAGGTGATCATTCGAGATCACTCCGTTTTGCTCCAAGAGACCTTTCATCAGGAGAAGTTGGATAGACAGCTTGAGATGTCAGACTAGGCCAATGTGGTCTCCTTTTGGAAACAGCTTCATTGAAATCTGTACACTGACTAGGTCAAACTTACTGAAAACGAAGGTTAACAATGTGTTTTGTTATGTTTTTAAATTCTGAGAGTATCTTTGTAGAATATGAATATAATGATAGTTTGTAAGTCGTAGACACAAAGCTTTAAGTATTTATATGGAAGTGGTTGAAATAGTTTGTAAATTTCAGCAAGACACAAGTTTAAGGCATGTTGGTTTTCTATGCAATTTCGAAGGCGCACAAGGCAAAAATGACAAAATTGACAAAAATGTCTTCCATGATAGGATTTTAAAGGTTAAAATGACAGCTTTGGGTCGCTTTTATTAGGAGTATGTGTACAAACGGGTACAATAATTTTGTTTGAATTGCAAAACAAGTCGAGGTTTAATCCATGATGATGGTCCATGGATTTTGAATTCTAAGATTCAGATTTTACAGGGTTGAAATGGTTTTTTGTAAATTGTTCTGCAGTACATATTGAGGCAAAACTAGACATTGTTTTTTTTAAATTAGAATCTACATCGGAATTTATATTCCATCTTCACAGGCACAAACAGCTTGAATGGAGTTGCAGGTGCACCTGTACTTCCTTTTTCTTTTACCAGCAAAGAGAAATGTCACATTTTTATTAATAATAGATATACAGTAGATGCCTGGTGCAAGGCATATATGTTACTTAGCCTCCTTCCCTAGCAAACTTCCTTGATGGCAGCTTGGTTCTTCCATACCAAAATATAATCTGTATTTTTTTTTAAAAAAAAACTGTTTTTCCCCCCATGATGTGTGTAGTAGGTTCAACTCTACTTTTCCACCCAGATCACAAGGAATGATTTAGTGGAGGGGTTTTCAATTTTGACAACTTTTAAGACCTGTGGATTTCAACTCCCAGAATTCCCCAGGTGTTAAAAGTTGCCAAGGTTTAGTGTATTGGACTGGATGAATGTTTGGCTGTACTTAAAACCCTTGCAATAAATGTCCAACAGGTTGTGTGAGTTTCACATGGTAGCTCATCCTTGGATCAACATTCCAACAGCAGCTTCACGCCCCAAGAAGATCTAAAGATCAAAAAGATAGAGGAATGTAGATTATGGCAACCTCTCCCAGAAATACAGGCCAGAGGGATTAAACTGTAGTGATTACCAAAGAGTCATCAAGTGATCTAGGAATTTGGTTTCATAAACAGCGTAAGTTAGATGTTCAGAAATGTTTGCCTGAATTTTGGGAGATTTGTGCCCATAAAGAACTTTTGTGTTCCATTAAACAACATTCCTGCTTAAATTAAAATGTTAATTCCTTCTCTTGCTGCTCCATCAACTTCTTAGAATGGCACATTAAAATGAAAGCAGTTGGTTCAATGCCAACATTTTTTCCCCTTCAAAATTGTTAATAGGTCTGTGACAGCTATTATTCTGTTAATGCCCTTTTTAAATGTTTATTTGCCAGACTGTTGATGGTTGTTGCAGTGGGAGTATCTATTTATGCACATCCAGCACTGTTTGTTAATAAGATGTCATTATTTTGAATGTTCAGACTTTGTTTCAGTAAGAAGAAAAATCCTCTAGCTATTTTTAAAAGATCATACAGACCAGTCAAATTGCTGCAATGTTGGTTAATGCCTTCCTATCTTTGACTTGGGTGTATCTTTATTTGCAAGAATAAACCTCGTTATTTTGTTTTACTAAATGCTGTGTGTCAGATTCATCTGCTGAGACATATTTTTGCATATATACAACCAGACAACACCCCCACCCCCCAAGTACTAACAATTCTTGGAACAAATTGTAGATTTTTTTTTTTTTGCAGTGTAACATTTGCTGTAGTGATTAGACTTAGAATAACTTTATTGTCACTTCGAACGTACACTAATCAGCATACATTAAAATGAAATTTTGTTGCATACAGCTCTCAAAAGGTCACACCTCCAATATACACTACATAAACATGACAAAATAAATAAACACATTATGCATGTACCCACATATATGACACAGAGAAACAACACAGTTTAGTTCAGATGTATACATGACCATGGTGAGAAAAACAAACCTTGTGAGTTTGCCAGACGGATGCCCTGGGGGAACAAAGCTGTTACAGAATCTGGTAATCTGCTAGAAATACTTTGAAACCCCCTCCCAGAGGGGAGCAACAGGAACAGACCATAAAGTGGGTGTGTGGGGTCTCTAACAATGTGTGATGACCCAGGGTGGGATACAAAATAAACACAGTCACAGAAAACAGGTGAAGCCCCTTTTATTCCTTCACTTTGCTTCCAAGCTCTGAATATTCTTGTCGGGAAAACAAAAAACTCCCACACAAACAGTTACAAGAAGAAGGAAAAAAGCAACACAAACCAGGTAAGATAAGGGCTGGAGGACGTCCACAGATAACACACACTGGGAAGGATGCCAAACTCAGGAACCATAAACTAGAGATATTTCCATGCTTTGTTTCCAGCGTTTGCCACTACGCAGGTCCAAACTCTTATTCAGTTGTCACACCTGCAGCCCATGAAGAGGATCAAGGCCCTCTCCTCCCGAGTAGACCACGTCTCTCCTTTATCCTCTCCTCCCTGCGTACCCTAGGATGGGCCTGGGTCCTCCTCTGACTGCCCAGCCAGCCTCTGCCCTTCCCCAGCCTCCTCCGCAACCTCCGGAGCTGCACTTCCACTCCCTGTTGGCTGTTCCTCCTCTCCCTCAGAGTCAGTCTCCACCAGGGACACAATGCTTCCAGCTCTAAGCACATAGTGCTTGTAAGCAGTATCCTGAATAACAGGAAGCAAGTTTCCTATCATCTCCACTGTCCTCACCACTCTCTGTAGGGACTTTCCATCTGAGGCGCTATTGCCATCAAACCAAACAGTAAGGCAGTTTGTTAAAATACTTTCAATCGTGCCTCAAAAAAGTGGGCAGGACTGCGGCTTTGCTCCGCATTAGGAAGGCTTCTCACTGGGTGGTCGAATGCATCAAGAAAGACACCAACGCAGGTTCTATCTTGGGTGAGCTGCCCCGATCACACGTTCGGGAAGCTCTTTTATTAAAAACACATAGTGATACGTCATAAGCGGTGAATTCTATCCAATCATTAAGTTACATGAGTAAGAATATTAGTGCACACATAGTAACATCCAATCACAGTTACATGGTCAGTTTAAAAGGTACAAAGTAGTCAATTAGCGTTTGCATTCCAGTTATTAGCCCATGGTGACGTGTGGTTGATTGATGTTCGTTCCTGGCACACGCTTTCAGCCTACGTGAGGCCTTGAGGCCTTGAGGCCTGGTATGTACCGAAACTATACAAGCTAATTTATTACTGCACAGGACAGAAGGAAAAAGAGGTGCTCTCCTCATCTGACGCAGGAAATTCAGACACCGGTTTGCACGCTTCACTAATGATGACATGTGGAGAGACCAGTTCAGATTGTTAGTTATCTGCACCCTAACAATCTGAAATGGTCTCTCCACCACGTCATCCTTACTGAAGTGTGCAAACCAGCACCTGCATTTCTTGCTTCAGGGGTCTTTAGTTGTTTGGAGGAGTTTTGGGGGTGGTCTTGGGGCAGTCCTTTCCTCTAAAGGTGGTTGTGTGAATAAAATGGTGGGTGAGCTCATTTGTACTACCTAGACCTCTTTATTTTGGTAAATTTAAGAGGCGTGGTTTCAACTCCCAGAATTCCCCAGCCAGCCATGGCATCTTTCTTCAAACCTAAAAACCTGAGAAAGGCACCTGTGCTGCCTTTCTAGCAATATTCTATATATATATAAGCGAAATACCACTCATGCATCATCACAAAATCTCCAGAACCGTAAAGCCTACAAACTTGAAATTTGGCCCGTTCCTCTTGGCTTCTAGGGGCTCACTAAGAAAGGATTTTTTGAAATGACCATCAGAGCTATTAGAATTTCCTATATTATTATTATTATTTATTAACATGCTCTGATGCTAAGGAGTTCTACTCCCCCTCCCCACCTGAAAAGAAATCTCTTCCAAATGCAAAACACAAGCAGAGGAGTTTCCGTTTCAGTTTCACAGCACCAAGGAGCTTTAGTACAGAACAGTTGAACTAAGCCACGCCCAGGCTCCTTGCTGTCTCCTCCTTGCTCACTCCTGGACTTACAACAGTTCATTTACTGACCGGACAACGGCACTGAAAAAAAGTGACTTATGACCATTTTCCCACACTTAAGATGGTTGCAGCGTCCCCCCACGGACATGGGATTCACATGACAACTGACTGCAACTGGTGACTAGTTGCAGTGTCCCGGCGGGGTGTGTGTGTGTGTCCTGTGATCCCCTTTTGCGGCTCAGACTCACTTAACGACCGCCGGGGTTACTAACTTAACAGCCGCCATGAAAAACAAATCACCAGAAAGGTCATAAAAGGGGAGCAAAGACTTATATCACCCATTTCTCACTTAGCAACAGAAATCCTGGGCTCAAAGGTGGCCCTAAAGTGGTATAATGTCCAGGTTTAGAGACTTTCATTTTTACAGCTCCGGTGGCCTAGAGGTGGAGATCTCGCCTCACAATCAGGAGGTTGAGAGTTCGATCCCTGGTAGAGGCTGATATTTGGAATAGACTCTCCTGCTCAAGCAGGGGGGTTGGACTAGATGACCTCCAAGGTCCCTTCCAACTCTGCTGTTCTATGTTATTCTATCGTCTCTATCAGGGGTCTCTCCAACCTTGGCAACTTTAAGGCTTGTGGGCTTCAACTCCAAAGCTGGCTGAGGAACACTGGAAGTTGAAGTCCACAAGTCTTAAAGCTGCCAAGGTTGGAGACCCCTGTTCTATATATATAAAAGCAAAATGCCCCTCATGCATCATGACAAAATCTCCAGAACCGTAAAACCTACAAACTTGAAACTGGGCACCTATGTTCCTCTTGACTTCTAGGGCTCACTAAGAAAGGATTTTTCGAAATGACCATCAGAGCATTTAGAGTATTTCCTATATTATTATAATTATTATAATTATTACAATTACAATTACAATTATAATTATTATTATTAACATACCCTGATGCTGAGGAGTTCTACTCTCCCTCCCCACCTGAAAAGGAATCTCTTCCAAATGCAAAACACAAGCAGAGGAGTTTCAGTTTCAGTTTCACAGCAGCAAGCAGCTTTAGTCTAGATCTAGAACAGTTGAGCTAAGCCACGCCCAGGCTCCTTGCTGTCTCCTTCTTGCTCACACAGTCAATACTCTTTCAGTTTCCAAACAGCCCTCAGCTTTCCCACACACTGACAGGACGGTAACCAGATGAATACCGATGGACGCTGGCAAGCAGAGGCGCAATTTTTTACCCCCTTATTTTCCTCCCTAAAAACTAAGCCCGACCACATAGTTTCGTAGCGAAGCACAAGTATCCAGCTAGTAAAAAGATCAAAATGGAAAAAATTAAAAGCATTTCTGAAGGATGTGAATCAAAGATAGATTCTTTTGTATTCTTTCAAAGGATTTTATGTATCAAAAGCGGGTTGGACTGGATGACCTGGAGAGTCCCATATTTGCAAACGGTTATGTTTAAATGCTTGTCCGAGTTGGAAGACCTACAAGAAACCACAACATGTTTGTTTTTTTCCTGCTCAGCTGCCCAGCTACAAGTGTCCCGTTCAGCTTGGTTAAACTTTCATGTCTCGATAGACTGGCCAAACCGCAAATATGCTTTCAAAAGGAAATAAACTATCAATTGTATTGTTTAAAGGAAGTCCTTTGCTTTTCTGACTCTGACTCACCTGAGAAAGGTTTGGGA